GAGGGCTGATTTCCTCTCTGGCACAATGGAAAGCACCGCCATGATCTTGGAACCTGAGATGAGGGGATGAAAGAATGTGGGTTTTAGAAGGAGAATGCTGTCTCTGTGATGTTTCCAGCGTTTAATTGTACAGTGGTTGAACTGTTGGTCATTTGGGGACAATGGAAAGCTATGTTTGTCAGTTTTGTTGTTGTGTGTTCATAGCAGCGTAGTGTGGGATCTTTCTTTTTTTTTAAGAGATGGGTGTCTCTGTTGCCCAGGCTGGAGTGCAATGGTACGATCATAGCTGATTGTACCCTTGGACTCCTGGGTTCAAGTGATCCTCCCTCCTCAGCCTCCCAAGTATCTGGGACTACAGGCATGCACCACCATACCCAGCTAAATTTTTTTATTTTGATAGAGATGGGGCTGGATATTTCTTGCTTTGGGTTGTAATTGTCTTTGCTCACTTTTCTAAGTAAGCCAAGGAGTCGCTGTTTAGGCCAGAAGGAGAACTGACTTTCGCCATGGGCGTTGGATTTGAGGAAGGATGGGGCGTAGGCTGACGTCCTGCTCTGTCACTGATCCCTGTGGGACTTCAGGCAAGTGATTTAAATTCCTTGATTTTAGGGGGTGAGGGATAAAAGACTACGCATTGAGGCTGGGTGCAGTGGCTCACACGTGTAATGCTGGCACTTTGGGTGGACAAGGCGGGTGGATCACTTGAGATCAGGGGTTCGAGAACACTCTGGCCAAGATGGTGAAACCCTGTCTCTACTAAAAATATGAAAATTAGCTGGGTATGGTGGCACACACCTGTAATCCCAGCTACTCGGGAGGCTGAGGTGAGAGAATCGCTTGAGCTCAGGCAGTGGAGGTTGCAGTGAGCTGAGAGATTCATGCCGTGGCACTCCAGCCTGGGTGATAGAGCAAGACTCTGTCTTTAAAAAAAAAACTGAGTTCAGTGTATCCTGCTCAGGTGATGGGTGCACCAAAATCTCACAGATCACCGCTAAAGAACTTCCTCATGTAACCAAATACCACCTGTTCCCCAAAAAAGCCTGTGGGGGAAAAAAAAGAAATTAATCTGCAAGAAAAGGATAAACCCCTTGATCCTGACTACATTCATCTGTGCATGAGAGATAACAGTTTGCATCTCTTGCATGCTGCTGGAGGCTGGAGTATTAAGTCGTGCTTTTCCGTAAGCAGGGAGCCGGTGGGCAGTAGTATTCATTCAACAAACGTTGGGTAAGTGCCTTCTGCGTGCCATGCTGTGTTTAGGAGTTAGGCATACACAGATAAGATGGTGTCTTATCCTTTCAGCCAGGATTGGAGTTAACATTTTTACTCCAAATGAGAGTTTCTCGACCTTGGCACTGCTGCCATTGTGGGCTGGATAATTTGTGGGGCAGGGGTCTGTCCCTGTCATGATGGAGAATAGTGGGCACCCTCGATCCCTGCCATCTTTGAGTATAGTGGCTGGGAAGCTGTCTGAACCCGCAGTGTGAGTCTGAGTTGGTGGTTAGGAACTGCTCGAAGTCTCTGGATTGTTTGCCTGACTGAAGCTATCCTGCTAAAGGCTTATTGAAACAGTTCTTTGGTGGGGACTCACTCTGCTTCTGCTCAGCTCCTCTCTGGCTTTGCTGCCCAGTGTCGTCTGAGGAGCCCCTATCATGTATGTGCCAGGTTGCGTGGCCGTGCCGTGGGGGTGCCCGGCTGCAGCCTCTTCATCCAGACACATTGAGGAAGGAGACCCAGGCATCTGGGATTCCCTCCCCCTCTGTCATCCACTGTGCAGCTCAATAGAAGAGAGAGCAGGCCAGCTGGCGCCTCCTGAATCTCCTTTCTGAAAATAACATGCTTGGTCTTGGGGAAACTCTCTGGAATATACTATTTTTACTTAAAACAAGATCAAACCAGAGACCTTTTCACATGTGAGTCCTAAAACTGTAAACCAGAACCCTTTCATATGTGATTCCTGAAACTGTAAACAGAGACCTTTTCGCATGTGAGTCCTAAACTGTAAACCGGAACCCTTTCATGTGTGATTCCTAAAGCTATAAACAAACCTAAGATTCTTCCACGTGTAACATGTAAAGTATAAGTCTATATAAAGGCAGAACCTTCTTTGTTAGATGAACTGGGCTTTTGACAAATTACTGCCTGGTCTCCCGGCCAGATAAACTCTTCCCTCTTTTATTCGGTGTTCGAGAGATCCGTTTCCTGCGGCCGCTCCTGCTACATCAGCAGAGGCCCAATTCCACTTCTGTTACCCCAGGTGAAAAATGGAAACTTGGCCCCGAGGCAAAATGGTGTCCATGTTTTTGAAGACGAAGGCATGAAGACAGGCGCATTTAAATGATTTTAATCTGTTTATGCTGTCAAGGAGGAAACTTGTCCAGTGCAGATCAGTGAGCTGCAATGTAGGGGTGACAGAGAGCTCGTCTCTTCTGTCTCAGGTGGCTTTCCCCTGCAGGCGATTCCATGGGCTTGACTTAACCTTTTAATCGTGCAATTTCGGTTGATGCCGAGAATGTTCCTCTTAAAATGTACGGCAGTGGCATTCCTTAAGTTTCCCTGACCGAAGGGCTTGCCTGCAGGTGTTCCTTAGCTTCGTGCTGCCTGGCTGAGTGGGGCGGGCATCGGGTGGTCAGATGTGACTTTGCCAGGATGACCGGAGGAGCGCAGCCGTGCGGCTCTGTTGCTTGCGGTTTTGTGCCTGCCTCATCTGTCCTTTATGAAGCCTTCGAGGCTTGGGCTTCTTGAAAGCTGACTTGTGTTTTCCAGGTTCCTTGTAAATTCTTTAACTTGGGGCTGTTCTCACACTGGAGGGTCAATATGATTTTTGGAAAAGAGCCTGTGTCCTTATCAATCAGTAATTGCACTGGTACGACCATTTGAACTTTTAAAACATGCTGCACTCAGAGTGGCTGACTCTTCTGATTAAAGGTGGATTCTTTAGACTCTAAGGTTGGATCAGCTGAGATAAGCAGCTCTGGGGCTCTGTTGCTGTTGTTTTTGGCCTCACTAATTATTGTTAGTGGTAAAAGAAGGGAGAGGCATAGCCATAAACTTGTACTTGAGACATGCCTGTAGCCATGGGTGCCACCAGGTTCAGGTAGAGTAATTTCAGGGTGACCTCTAGGCTGGCAGATTGTTGTTGCTCTGTATCAACAGAGTTGAAAATGTTATTTTATTGCCAATAGAAAAAGTGAGTAGTGTTCGAAAGACTGATAGGCACAGGTATAAATAGAAAAGGTGAGATCATGACCCGCTCAACTTTGCAGTGGGGCTTTTTAAAAACAGTTCTTCAGTCTTGGAAACAAACATAATTCTCTCTCAGTCCAACCACCTGTCAGCTGTAAGTGGTCATTATTTCATCATATTGCAATAAAAGATAATAGAATAACGATTTATATCTCGTGGCTGATGTTTTAATGCGTCTCTCTGTTATCCTGGGCTGACAGTCTGTGATTACAGTAAACGCTTTCTCGGTGACACCATGGTAATGACTCGTTAATAGGAGGATTATTCCAAGTTTAAGTCATAGAGTGAAAGACCAGCCTCAGCCCTCCTTACCTCTCTCTGCCTTGGTGGGGGTGGTCTCTGTGCTCAGTTGGTGACCCATGCTTTGTCCCTCAGCTAGGATGTTGGGGTATGGGCGCAGCACCACTCCTGATGCCTGGGGATGCACATTCCCTGTTGATTAGCAAACCAAGCCAGTGACTCCCTCTCTGTCTTCTGTGCTTACGGCATTCCTTCGTGTGTTTTTTTTTTGTTTTGTTTTTTAGACAAAGTTGCATTCTGTTGCCTAGGCCGGAGTGCAGTGGTGTGATCTCTGCTTACTGCAACCTCCACTTCCTGGGCTCAAGTGATCCTCCTGTCTCAGCCTTCTAAGTAGTTGGGACCACAGGCGTGTGCCACCATGCTTGGCTAATTTTTGTATTTTGGTAGAAATGGGGTTTTGCTATGTTGCCCAGGCTGGTCTCGAACTCCTGAGCTCAAGTGATCCACCTGCCTCGACCTCCCAAAAGTGCTGTGATTACAGGTACGAGCCACCACCCTAGGCCCCTTAATTTTAAATAAAAATAACTGCACTGAATTTAATGCAATAGAAGAGCAGACTGAAGATGCATTCATTCCCAAGTGGGAGTGTCCGTATGAGATTCGGAAAGAGGTTGAGTCTCCCGTGCCATCTTCCCAGGCCCCTCTCCCTGGGCCTGGCAGGAAGGCAGAGGCAGAGGCTGGCCATTTGCATGTTGCAGATGGGAAGGTGTGAGTGGAAAACCTTTTAAGATCGACTTGAATATCATCTACTTGGCTTAGATCTTGAGAAATCTTTTAATAAAATGATCTCAAGGTGGTTTTTGGCATAAAAAGACTTTTTAGTCTTTTGGGCTCTGAACTGGGGATAATTACATAGCACCTAAAGAAATCCAAGGATTCTTTTTGTTAATAGTCTAAGTACAATTAGTTCAGATGGAACTCAAAATGGTTACACGTGAAGCAGAGTTCCAGCCAGCCCCAGCCAGGTGTGATTGAAGTTGTTCTGTGTTGAGCGTCAGGCGATGCTTGGAGCATGAATTGATCAGCACGTGTGTGTGTTTGTAGGGGTGGACGTGTTGTCTTGGCCTGGTCTAACCGTGGGTCCCCCCTGCAGTGTGGGGTGCATAGCCGCTTTAGCCCATTTCTGCTCTAGTGGGCCCAAGTTCTGTTGGTGTTTCTGGTGGTGGAATTCCCAGGGGATGGAAAGTTCTGGAGCGGAAGCAGATGTCCTGCATGTTGGGCACTCTGGAGTCAAGGGCTCTGACACTGGCTTTTGAGTCCGAGAGAGTTACCTCAGTGTGCCTGCTTCCCTGGCATCCTGCAGAGATGTGGTGCCCCACATGTGGGCACGTTAGAGGGTTCCGGGTGCTGTGGCATGTGTAGGAAGGTGGTCTTGAGGGTGGGGATGGCGCCCGTGTCCTCTTCGTGTGTTGTGTCCTGAGCGCTCAAACCTTCCTCTGGCTTCTATTCTGCAGCCCTTGTACTTTCACACACCCTTAAACCACCCTCATATCGTGGCTGTGGTCGAAGTGGTCGCTGAGGGCAAGAAACCGGATGGGACCCTCCAGACGTCGTCCTGTGGGTTTGGAATCCTTCAGATCTTCAGCAGCCAGCCGGAATCTCCTACCTCTGCTTCCCAGGACAAACGGTACCTACCTTGTTTCTACAACCGTGGGGTTTGCCAGCGTCTTACTTTTTTTTTTCTTTTGAGACGGAGTCTCACTCTCAACCAGGTTAGAGTGCAGTGGTGTGATCTCGGATCACTGCAACCTCCGCCTCCTGGGTTTAAGCGATTCTCTTGCCTCAGCTTCCCAAGTAGCTGGGACTACAGATGCGTGCCACTACAGCCGGGCTAATTTTGTATTTAGCAGAGACAGGGTTTCACCGCGTTGGCCAGGCTGGTCTTGAACTCCAGACCTTGCTGATGCACCTGCCATCACCTCTGGCTAATTTCTGTATTGTTAGTAGAGACGGGGTTTTGTGCCTGGCTGCATTCCAGTGTCTATGGTGGTTTTACTGGGCATCTCATGGTGGCAGTAGAAAGCCTTAGGTTTGTCATCTAAAGTTTTGTGTCCATAATAGCATAGTGTTGGATGTTTCTTGCTTGGGGGTTTGCCTTTTTTTTTTCTCCTTTTTTTTGAGGCAGAGTCTCGCTCTGTCATGCAGGCTGCTGTACAGTTGTACAATTTTGAGTCACTGCAACCCCTGCTTCCAGGCTCAAGTGACTCTCATGCATCAGCCTCCTGAGTAGCAGAGGTTACAGGCGTGCACCATCACACCGGGGTGATGTTTGTATTTTTAGTAGAGACGGCGTCTCCTGTGTTGCCCAGACTGGTCTTGAACTCCTGGGCTCAAGAGATCTGTTCACCTCAGGCACCCAAAGTGTTGGGATTACAGATGTGAGCCACTGCATCCGGCTGTGTTTGCCATTTCTAAGTGAGTTAAGGAATTGTTTTTTAGGCAGGAGTAAGGGCTGGCTTTGGCTGTGAGCGATGGATTTGGGGTAGGATGGATATACGCCAAAGTCCTGCTCCAGCGCTGATTCCCTGTGGGACTTCAGGCAAGTGATTTGAACTCTTGGAGCCTGAAGGCATTCACCTGTACATGAGGGATAATAACAGCATGTGTGTCGTAAGTTCTGCTTGAATATTGAGCGGTGTGTTTTTCACAGGCGCCGGTGGTTAGCAGGTGTTCATTCAGCACACACTGGCGGAAGATCTGCTGCATGCCAGGCCCTGTGTAGGGGCCGGACATATAGGTGGATAGGCTAGCATGTCATCCCTTCAGCCAGGGTTAAAGCCTACGTGTTCACTAGAGAATCAGGGTTTCTCTAGCTTGGCACCACTGACTTTCCAGTGGAGAATTCTTTGCTGTGGTGGCGCTGTTCTCTGTGCTGCAGGATGTTTAGCAGCATCCCTGGCAATCTACTAGATGCCAGAGGCACCCCCTCCCTGCCCCAGTTGTGACAAAGGAGAAAAATATCTCCAGCCATTGCCAAACTTGCCTTAGTGGGCAGAGTCGTCCCTGGTTGAGAACCACTGCTCCAGATCCACAGCCATGGAAATTCCTCAGATGTGTCTTTCTTGAGACATTTTAGAGTTTTATAAATTTCCATGAACGGTGTTTTCCAGCTTGTCGGTTCTCAGGCTGCCTTGGGTCGGTGCTGTGTGTGTGCTGGACGTGCTTGGCCATGAGCACTGAGGGCTTGGGGAGCTGCTGCTGGCCTTAGCTGCCGCTGCCTTCCGCAGAGGACGGAACTGGCAGCATTTAGAAAGCTCTGGTGGGCGTGGTGGTGGCCAAGGCTTCCATGTGCTTTCTTTCTGAGAAGTGCACAAGTGGCTGATGAGTATTCTTTGGATCCTGTCTTCCAGGTTGCAGCTGTACCACGGCACCCCCAGAGCCCTCCTGCACCCGCTTCTTCAGGACCCCGCAGAGCGTAAGAGCCAGGCCTGTCCTTGGCAGCACTCGCTGCTCTCCCGCCTTCCCTGAGTGTTCCCCACCGTTAGCTCTGAATGGGATCTTTCTCAGTGTAAACCGCTGTCCACTTAGCTAATTTATCTAAGAGGTTTGGGCAAATGTTTTGCGGCCTTGGACTTTTTTTACTTTACAGAAAGTAAAGAACTGAAACACAGCAGCCCTGAGGGAGGGCATTGCTTTGTGGGGATGGCATGGGAGGGCCTGCGAGAGCCGCCTGGAGGGAGGGGAGCAGCTCTGCTCACCAGATGAAGGAGTAGTAGCCTTCCGTCACCAGCCACCGGCTCTAAACCTCTGACTGCACAGCCATCGGTTATCCCCAGCATGGCAAGGCCCCGTGGCTGAGAGGCCGCCTTAGAGCAGAGCAGGGGTCAGGGGAGCTTCCTGCTGTTCCTCTGTGATCAGCCGTTCCCAGACAGCAGAGGGAGCCAGTGGGAGGGAAGGGGATGACAGTCTGCTCTGCTGCTGCCTGCCTGGAGGTTGACAGGAGGGGTATGTGGTGGGAGGGGTGGGAGTGGAAGTGGGCTAGAAGGACATTAGGGAGGCTCAGAGCACAGAGGCTGTGCTTGCCCAGCAGTTGGGGGAGTGTTCGGGTGGGGGGAAAAGTGGCTGGAAGTAGATCTGTTGGGGAGGGTGACTTTCTGTCTCTTTGAGGTGAGGTGCTGCCTAGATTCCTTGAAGGGGACGTTGTGTGTGCCTTGGGGCTTGGGTTAAAAGTCAAACCTGGCTGGGCGTAGTGGCTCAGGCTTGTAATCCCAGCACTTTGGAAGGCTGAGGCAGGTGGATTGTCTGGGTGATAGAATGAGACCCTGTCTCAAAAAAACAAAACAAAACATCCAACCTGCTCTCTTTGCCCCTCACTGGTCTTGGTGACGGTGTCATGATAGGACCTGCCAGCTGAAGAGCGCTGAGGTTCCTAAGTCTGGAAAGGAGAGCTTCATTTCTCAGAAAGGGCTGCAGCCTACAGGTGGCCTTTCAGACAGGCTGGGAAGTGTAGCTTCTGGCCAGAAGCCAAAAACAGACCCTTTGAGGGAGGAACAGAGGGAAGAGGAATTTCTGCTGAGCGGGGGCTGAGTCAGCTTTTTAATAAGCCCAGGAGGGGTCCTGCGTGTTGATGAGAGGAGAAGCGTGCACGTGGGCAGCTGAGCCCATGCCGCTTCATGGGATGCGCGTTCAAAATACGGTGGCACTAGCAGGATCCTCGGGGGGAGTTCTCCACTCCCTGATGTCAGAAGGTGAAGCAGATGACACGAAAGCCCTCCCTGCGCGCCCTCTGTAGACTCCGGAGGAGGGCAGCAGCAGGCGATCCGTGGGCAGCAGCAGCAGTGGAGTCTAGAAAGGGCAGTTTCTGTCCAGTCCTAAGTGAAGAAAGGCTAATGGTGGTTAGCGTGGGCTGGGGCGCATTGAGGCCTGTCTGTTCCCCCTCTAGTCACAGCCCTGAAGTCAGTTTTCAAGGCTCCGCTGGAGTCCTCTAGGCCGAGAGGCGGCCCCTTCAGTCTGCTGTGGGCTCAGGGTTTTCTTTCAGTTTACAGAGAACAGCCAGCTGGGAACTTCATCTCATTGCTAAAGACTGGCTTTTAAGTTATTTTTCAATTGAGTCTAATTATTCATGTGCCAGGATTTTCTCTCCAGAATTATCCTTAGAACAAAGTACACAGCTACCACGTTTGCTGCACGTCCACAGCCTGCACCGCCGTGCGTCCGTGTGGAAGCTGTGAGCCCTGAGTGGAGGCTTTAGGCAGAACCCGCGGCGGGCCCGTCACTCATCTTTGCAGCAGACGTTTCCCAAAATTTGCTGGTAGTGGTGACACACTCACACAATTCGGAATCCAGAAGTATGAAAAAGTGCCGGGTGCAGTGGCTCACGCCTGTGATCCCCACACTTTGAGAGGCTGAGGTGGGCAGGCTGCTTGAGGCCAGGAGTTTGAGACCATCCTGGACAACATACTGAGACCACCCCCATCTCTAAAAAAACACAAAAATTAAGCGGGTGTGGTGATACGCCCCTGTGGTCATAGCTACTTGGGAGGCTGAGGTGGGAGGATTGCCTGAGGCCAGAATTTGAGGCTGCAGTGAGCCGTGATTGCACCATTGTACTCCAGCTTGGGAGACAAGATCCTGTCTAAAAACAAAAAAAATAAAAAGTATAAAAAGTTCAGAGTGAGATGTTATTTCCCCAGTCCTTTCACCTGCTACCAGGTAACCTCTCTCTGGGTTCTTGTGGATCTGTCACTGGTGAACTAAGTTCTTTTCCCCCTTTGTATCAGCTGCAAAGGAAGAATAGCCAATTGGAAAAGGTAGTCAGGTTTTATAGACTGGCCAGGGAGTGGAGAAGGGAGCCCTCGCTCCACAGGCAGCTTCTCCCTGGACAGCGGGAGGCATGGAGGTTTGAAGGACCGGGCTCAGGCCAGGAGGGTGGGATTCCAGGCGCACAGACACATGTCGTAACATGCTCCTCCGGGCGTGGCTGGTACGAAACACGGCGGTGGCCTTCTCGGAGTGTGAACTTTAGCATTGTAATGACGTTCCGATGGTCTAAAGGCAGCTGGGGGTCGCCTGTTCTAGTTTTCACCAGTTTCGTGGGGCTCTGTCTTTCTCTGGTATTTGGTCAGGGGTCAAGAAGCTCTGGTGGCATCCCTGCCATCTGGTTCCTTTAAAGAGCTGTGCCCATGGAAAAAGGGGCTGAATGAGAAAAAGGAACTTTTGCTGTTATTTCACCCAGGCTGCCCTGGTGACACACCCTTCCGGGGCCTTGTCGTGGACACAGAAGCAGAGCGGATGTCCAGTATTACATCTGATTTTTGACCTCTTCCCACTCACTGTTCCACACCTTGCTTTTTTCCCATAACAATTTGTCTAGAAGAATGTTTCATATCAGTACATGGAAAGCACTCATTCTTTTTACAGCTCTGTGGTATTTTGTGGAATTGATGTTTCACGATTGATTGAATCGGCCTCCTGCACACCAACCTTTACGCTGTCTTGTAAGAAAAAGTTGGGGCAGGTGCAGTGGCTCACGCCTGTAATCCCAGCACTTTGGGAGGCTGAGGTGGGCGGATCACCTGAGGTCAGGAATTTGAGACCAGCCAGGCCAACATGGTGAAACGCTGTCTCTT